CACCCAAGGAGTGCTTGTACAGAATTACAGTGCAACCTATGACTTTGTTATCAAATGGATGGCATGTCGTACTTTTTACTTCTGGTATCCGGATCAGAATCTGGCCCAGACTGATGAGCTGTAAATCTCTCGCTATCATGTGTAAGGTCCTTTGTGAAATAGGATGGGGTGTTTCTAACCCAATTCTTGCTGATCTTAGGACCCATAGGAGAACAACAACTCATAATTCAATTTGACAGTAAATTAGTACTCTCAGTCAGAGACTACAGGATGGCTGGCTTGGGAAATGAAAAATGTCACACTGGTAGAGCAGGAGATATTGGGAGACATCAAAGCCTGACATTCAACTTAGATGTAGCCTGTAACACTTTAAACACTTGTTTTTCTGTTCCAGGCCTGAAATTTCACCTAGTCTTAGCATGTAAGACATCTTTTTTAAATTTATTATTGTGCAGAGTTGTGGAATTTTTTTTAAATCCAATCTTAATTTGTGTTTTCCATAGTTTTTTAAAAATTAAGGCTGAGTTTTAAGAATTTTCCACAAATTAAAATTTTAAGACAAAAATGGTCTTTCAGACAAAGATAACATTGAAACATGACCTGATGTTGAGGGCGTAGCAGAGGGCCTGAGCATAAAGTATATTGGGTCAAAGGTCTTTCTGTAGCTGCTTTAGTGTTCCTCATGCTGCTATATCTATCCAAAGTGTGCTTTGTTGCCCATTTTCAGTGCTTAAAATTAATCAATGGTCCAATAGAGCCATCTTGTTTTCTGTGCTGATGAAGTAGGAATTAGAGGGAAGAAAATATTATAAAAGAAAGAAAGCTAAGATTCACGAAAGGAAATTCATGATTGGTTGCATGCTGTATTCTGCAGTTATCCCTTGATCACCTTTAGAATCAGGAATATTCCTTCAAGTGATACAGGGAGTTATCAGACATTGTTCCATTGTATTAATTATGTTGTTTGTGTGCTTGTTCATTTTTTTAAAAAATCACTGCATTATGAACCGCATTCAATGGTTTTGTGTGGACTGTAAAATGAGTGGACCTGTGGGCCAAATGGCCGTTTCATATATCGATGCTTTTTAATGCTTGTATTCCCCAGACCTACCTCTTGATGAGCGCAAATGTTTCTGTAAAAGAAAATGATTCAATTTGTTGCGTGCTTAAATGAATGGAAAGGCTCCGTTGTCGTGTTCCCCACCCCTGGCCTTTCTGTTCTGGGCATCTGTAAATTGCATAAGAAAGTCTGCTGAGAGCAATTCTCCCATCGTACTGTGTAAAGAAGCTTCACAGATCAGTGTGTGCCAACAATTAGTTCTCATTAATATCTATTATAGACATCCTATTAGTTTGTCCTTTTATTGAGGTGGTGTTCCCTCTTTTAATGTATGCTTGTATTTGTACATAACCCTAAGTCTCTGCTGCTGAAAAGGGAAGTTTTATGGCTTAGGAAGTTTTATGGCTGCACAAAGGTTCAAGAGGATAGCCTCAGGCTATACTCCTCCCAATATACAGTGTTCTCCACCTCCCTCCCTTCCTTCCTCAGGGGCTGCCATTTGGCTTCCACTGAAGTGAGTAGTTCTGAAGTACATTAACTTTTGAATTAAATAGTCTACTATGAACTCAGTTTAAGAGGGAAAAAGCATTTAAAGTTCAATGTTTTTAAAAAACTGCATAAATTATATTATTTTGCCAGAATTAGTGTTGCGCTTTGTAGTCTGCGTCCTTTGTTAGCAAAATAATATCTGATCACAGCATTGAAAATTACCAAGTGCAATGAGTTTACAGAAAAGGTAAATCTGCTGTGCTCAAAAATTATTTGGCGCTTTGCTTCCCAGTTTCCGTTGTTTCCTTTGGTGTGTTATTTTACACAGACTCTACATGAAATAAGCCGCTTTCTTTGTTTAATGATGGATCTACATAGCATTTAGGAGTTATGGCTTGTGATCAGGTTGGCTACTTCATGAACTACAGAATGACTTCAGCAGACATTCTGATCCAGCTCCAATACTCTTAACTAACCGAACATTTAGGCATTGTTCAGATCCAAGTTCTGTGAGTTACAAACTCATGATTACTGATCCTTTTCAGCAAGTTCAGCATGTTATTTAGAGGCTTTTTTTAAAGAAAAACTAAACGTAAGAATATTTTATGTTATGTATTTTAAGACACTGTTACAATCTTTGTTTGGATCTTGTAGCAATTCACTCTTAATTTTAGACTGATTCCTTCTGTTATGCTGGAATGAGGGCACATCATTCAATATTCAGTAGCAATCAGCAGTGCGGTATTTAACTTAATGATACATTTGAGTTAAATATTGTAACCTGATTCTATGAAGCACTTCATGCTAACAAGTTTGTTTTCTCAATGTACATTCATACTAAACTGCAGCAATGACTAAACTGCCAACCAAGCTCCAACTTGACTTTATGATACGTGATCATAGGTTATGTTTGATTTTAAATGTCAGCATCCAATCAGCCAGCTAGGATCATTTCTGCTTCACTGTCTGTCTGATACTTACACTTACTGTTAAATTTACCAGTTATTCACAGCAGCTGCATAAAAGGACCTTTGTGACAAAATCTGGCATAAAATCTTCGAATACTACAAATTGTACCCTATTATTTCTGAATTATTGCTTAGTTCTGGCACCGTTTTGGAGACTATTTCTGGTATATACAGGGCATTCTGGTTATAATACCCTCGCTCCCACCCATAGCACAGTCTCACTTATATAGTATCCTAGGACTGTTCAAACCAGAAGCATTATACATCCACTTTCCAATGCTCATTAACCAGCTCCCCCCATTATGAAAGGGCCATTAATTACACTCTGCATATGCGCAGGATACTGATGTCACTTCAAAAAGGCCCTTTTTCCTGCTTCGCTTATACCATGATCTTTGAGATATTGGACATAATGGAGCATGTTATCATGAGGTTTCAGCCCCCTCCCCCTCGGCAGCTCACGAATCACTGATGTCAACTGTAGCTCTCTAACTCCAGCTCCAACTGAGACCCGACATCTCAGCGCAGATAGAGATTCGAACACGTGACTTGCTTGGCATTGCACATAAACAAAGTGTGCACTTTCTCTAGTTTCCATACAAAGAATTCCCTCCTCCCCCAACATAATTAATTTTACATTCTAGCACTGTGCTTACAATAATGCAAGCTTACCTGGGGAAAAGGGTGATACAAATTGACCATGTTTTTTCATATCTGTCCACATTGCAGCATTTTAGTGTCATAGTTTACACTGTGAAAATCATCTTTCTGTGAGTGGGTTATAGAACATTCATGGTGTAGTGTTAACTAAAATCTCTGGGCACTTGCTTACGTGTGTTCAGAACCAGAAGTGGGCCAGAGATACTCAATCAGGGCTAGAATTTGAGCCAGCGACAAGGCTTTAAATTTGAAACTAAGCTTTGTTATCGCTGTAATTTACAGGTAATGACAGCTTTGTTCCGTTAATGGTCAGAGTGTGTTTTATATGAAAATACAGGAATCCAAGACAGCTGTTACTTGTGATAACAGTCAATTCCCTGAATAAGATGAGCAGGTGCAAGTTTTGGATCTGTGTATTCACTGACCTTTTTAGTTTACACATTTTTTTTGTCAGTATATTCTGTTTGCCATAGAGTCCTGTGACTAGGAAACCAAACAAGGACACCTCTGCCCATTGTGTCTTAAGTGGTTGTGTTGCATACAATGTTTTTCTACACTAAACCTTCAGTCTGCAGAAAGCATCTGTGGTTTAGTATACCGCTTGACTATCACATTGTTCGCAGGCTAATTGATACCCAGTAAAACCATTCTTAAAATTTACAGAATCCCTTAAGTGAGAACACCACACCACACCAAAAGGAACCTCCATACCTAGTAAACATGTTCTTGGTTCCATGGACAAGCCTCCCATACTTGGCCAATTAGATTATACTTCATGTTTTTATTCTTCATTTTTGAGTCGGACGATGAGCATTGGTAGTTATAGCTGAGCTTCCCTTGTCCCCTTTTGCCAGAAGTAATTGGATAGTGACAGAACATTACTTGTACTTTCTGCTTTAGATAGAATGAGGACATCAAGACCATTAACACTGATTTGGCTGACATTAGCTCACTCAGTACAGACCAGAGATTGAATGTGAGAGCCTCATGATCTGTATGGCACCATGTTGCACCCCAGAGGCATAGCACCATCTATCATAAGATAGGAAAACCAATGCACTATTTTACTATATTCAGAATACAGTAGAGTGCCTGATAATGGCATATGATTTATCACATTCCTTTCAAGCGCTCTGGGACATTACCCTGCAAGAGGGGCACTACATAAATACAAGTTGTTGTTGTAAGTGTTATCCAGTGAAATGCTAACCTGAAATAGTGTCAACTTGAAATTATTTTGGAAGGCAAAATCAGCAGTTTTCAAAATCAGGCTTGTAAACCATTTCTGTGTTAAGTTTTCTTATAATGCCCAAGTTTTCATGCCATGTCTTATATTGAGTATGTGCATATCCTGAGCACGCAAAAAGGTTTTTGTTGGGTGTATACATAAGCAATCGGGTAGCAGGATGATTGAGTAAAAGTAAATTTGGTGGACTGTTGTTTAGTCTTACCTGCAGTAACAATGTTCAAATCTTGTTTATAGTATGTATAGTCATATAGTCTTAATAATATTTCATTCTTTTGTTATTAAGTCCACTTATTTTACGGTACTCTTTGTATTTTTACTCTATTATAGAGTATTGCATGTGTACACAAATACGTTTGCTTCGATTAAAGAATGATGGCAGCAAAGTGCATTGAACTTTGACTATTAACCTGATTCCATATCCACAATGGGTCTGGACACGATTATTGCGACTATCGGGCTCTCTACTTCCATTTATTGAACACAAATTTTTTTTGAAGTAGGCTCCATTTTAGAAAAAAAAATTATAGATTGGCTTGATAGTTTTCTTATCCTTGTGCTCTGTTTTTTTCCACAGGGAACACGGGTCTGGTTACGAGAGAATGATCAGTACATTCCAAGCACTGTCTCGGCCTATGGAGGAGGAGTGATCAACTTCACCACAGACTATGGCCAGGTGAGCTAAAACTCGCAAATCTTGAACACGCTTATGACTCAGTGTTCCACAGTATTAAGTAAATCTTAACACCCAGCATTGCGCTCTTGTTCAAATCAGAGAGCAAGTACTAGTTTTTGGATTCAACTGCACTTGGCATTGAAAAATAGTGGAAAAAGCCTGGTTTGAATAAATACAACATATAAATGCTCTATTTGGGTTTAAATATAAGTCTGGGAATTTAGACTGTCTCGATCGTGAGACTGCGTGAAAAGTTCCACTCTTGAACTTCCATAGTGAGAACCTATTAAGCTTAAGACTGAAGCTATTTTTGTCGTGATACTCAGTGTTTATATAAATGATGTAAGTTAACTCTCACATTGAGTGATCATGAATAGTTCCTTTTATTAAAAATCCCCATAAATGCCTATCAAACTCCCACTAAGGAAATTGCCAACAGTGCCCTTTCTTACAGTTTTATTTTCTAAGGCTCTGTCCTCTTCCTCCTGTGGGCAATGCTAAGTTGATGTGTTGCTATTTATAAAAATGACATGGGATTTTGGGTTCACTACGTCTAATGAACACTTAACAACAACATGGGAGCTCATTTGGTGGGTTTGACTTTTCTACCCAATGAGGTATTTCTGGCCATACCAGGAAAGTATCATTTCCTCAGTCACTCAACCTGGATAAAGATGTTAGTCTATTATTGGAACATAGAATAATAATCCTTATATTATCCATGATTATTTTGTTGGCCAACCAAAAATGTTGGTCACCTATTGTAATAAGTGAATACTTGAAGAAGCTAAAGCTTCATCCTGAGTGTCCGGTTTTTCAACAGCTTAGTATCGTTCCTAGCAGAAATCCGAAGTGATCAGTAATCTAAACCCCTGTCTGCAATAATAGACAACATATGTAATTAGCAGAAGTTAACCGGTAACATGCATGTCAAATATTGCACTGTATTAAGGCACGATGGTGGTTTACGTTTAACACAACAGAAAAAGCACTGGTCACTACATTTTCAAATAACAACAACAACAAAATTACATTTATAGAGCGCCTTTCACGTCGGGAGGACGTCCCAAAGCATCCCAAATAAGCTGCTGTACGTGATCAAATCAAATGAAGGAGGTCTACTTTGTCCTACATTTCTAATCTAAATAAATAACTCATGGATACCATACTTGATGCCTTTCTGTGTGGATTTGCAGTGGTGGCTGTATGAGTTTGGTACTGATACACACTTTTTCCTTCTCCATTCTATGCTTCAGACACCAGTGGAATTGTAAATGCCCCAGCTTCAAAGATTGCCTTATAATAATAATAATAATCCTTGCATTTGATATAGCGCTTTTCACGTCGGGAGGACGTCCCAAAGTGCTTCACAGAACACACTGTAAAGTGAATTGACTGTATATTTGTGGGCGAACGCGGGAGCCAATTGCGCACAGCAATGTCCCACAAACAGTCGTAGATTGAAAATGACCAATTTATTATTGTTTTTGGTTTTGGAGGGATTATTATTATTAGGCGTGTGGAATAAGGAAACTTGCCCAAGGTTTCGCCCTATCTGGAATTGAACTCAGGTCTCTCACTTGCAAAGCCCTGAGCTACAGGACTCCACGAATTATATTATATTTATGTATTTCTGGATAGATAGATATTTTAATGGTAAGATATCTAATTAATAATGCAAAGTATTTATTTAGCTTGTTAGTGCAAAAATGTGAAGAATGCTACCTAATCGCTGTTGGAGTGCTGTGATCTTTCGAGTTGTGGTATTGGGAAACTTTCTGGTGTAACTGTTTGGTTGATCAAGCTCTACATAAAATATAAGGCCATAAATTGATGTGAGATTCAGCTGTATCCATTGTATTGTCCCTTGGTGATAGGATCACTATTAGCTAAGTTCTGCACGTTAGTAATTCGTTATACAACAATTTGACTGCATCATCACCACTAGGACCAAAGCTGTTATTTTGAAGATGGGTGGTCTCTACAGATTGTAGCTGGTCATTCCTGTCCACTTGTCACCTGTCTCGGGTAGCAAGTCATACAATAACCAAGGCAATAGTTATTCTATTGCTACAGCCTTTAATTTGTGGCGTCATTTCTTTCAACCCCAAATCCCACTTTTGTGCAGTCTTAGAATGAACTGTGCTTTAACTCCTCAGTTCAGTAGACAGAATCCTCTTTGGAATGTCAAATAGACGTTTTGCACAGGAGTTTGTCATTAATTGCTCTAAGTTATAGCTAAAATTCACATTTTCAGTGTTTAGTCTCCCTCTGAACGTTTTACCTTTCTGTTGTATTAGTGAACGTATAGGCTGTTAAAATGCAGTAAAACTCAAGCCTTTACTTTTTTTCTCCAATTTGCTTCCCTCCCTTTCTTTAATGCTTTCACCCTGTACTCATTCTGCTTATGTGCACTTCCACAAGTAGTTTCATTTGGTTATTCATCTTCTAAAAGCATTACAAATAACCCTGATCCTGTCCTCACCTCCCATCCCTACGCACCCGCCTTCAATATGAGTCTCTGGATAGTGTTCTCACAGGAGCAGGAAATCTGCCTGAGTTTCCTGTACAAACATAAGGACACTGAGGTCAAATGTATCTTCCTGACTTTCACCATCAAATATTTGTGAACTCATCTTATACCATAATTCAAACCTGTGACCATCTGGTCTGTGTGGCTTAGTGATGCTCTGGATACTAACCTTTACTGACTGGTCCATCAGCAAAACTCGCTGACAGATACAGACACATTTTTAAGCCAAATTTCCATACCAGGACCTGGACCTTATCTGCTAGATTGTGCAGGGGCAATGGGGGAAGGTTCTGTAGGAAACGGGTAATGTCAAACTAGCCAGAGAGTCAAAACCAGAGCTCCTGCCAAACATGCTATATACATGGGAGATGCAGATGTCCCAAATGGTAGCGTGTTTTTTAAAAACATGTCATTATGAGATTTCCTCAGGCTAATGTATTCTGTAAAATGGGAGGAGTACTTTGAACAAAAGCAACCCCTTAGGCTTTTGTTTCCCTTTAAATATTGCAGTTGCACACCCTTCTCCCTGCAAACAAGTAATAGAATTTTCATCATTACAAGGCAATTATGACGGAGAGGTACAGTGCTGATACTTTACCCAAATGGCCATTATTCATGTGTGAGCCTTGACTATAACTGCTGGCAGGCTTATCTATTGTGGGGGCAACAAAGCTAAGTCTGGGATAACAATAATCCTTGCAATTGATGTAGCATCATCAAACTGTCTCAAAATGCTTCACAGACATTTTACCGTGACACCAGCTTTTTAAGAGTTAATTGAGAATATTAAAGGTTATACATTGTTTGTGTATCTCACTTCATTGATACACACCAGTGACACAATTCAGTCTGTCCCTTTGTGGAGTAAAAAATAAAGTTTGGATAGTGATAATTATCACAAGTGAAATGTATCACTGGTGATATGTATCACATCACATATCTTTTACCCCAGAAGGTGTCATCTTCTGTTTAAATTCAGATCCAAAAACTTGGCAAATGGGATGAGTGGGTTGAATCACTTTAATGATGTAAGAAGCAACACAGAAACATCTGGTAACAACAAAGAAAACGTCAGCACTGATAGCCACAACTTTACCCAAACTTCTTGTTGAAGATTTTGAACAGAGGCAATTCAGTCACAAGTATTTAATACAGAATTCATTGAGTTGGACTGAATTAAGTGTACTTTTGGTAACAGTGAATTATTTAGTCCTTCCTTATGATTGCAATTCCATTTAGTGGTGGTAAACTGTTGAATAATATATTTATTCCACAGACATGGTTTAAAACTGTATTCTGTTATTGCCTGGCTACCCGTTAAAAACATCAGGGTGTTTTGTACTTAAAGCTGGTTCTCCAATTGCCAGTAGACTTACTGTGCTTGCCAGGCAAATGCTTCTGATTCTCCATTGCCCTGACATTTACAATCTCGATAGTGTGAAGCTCTAGTGAAATTTGGATAAAACGCTTGATTCACACAGAACCTAAGTCCAGATAGATTTTTTTTCCCTCCAATGTTTCTTACCACCACCAACAACAACATATTGTGTCCTTCACACAGGATATTGTTTCAGAGCACCACGCAGTGGCAGGGTTGGATGAGTGAGGGAGATGGGGATGGGGAGCTGACCATAGCTGCATTTGAAGAGATAAGTCTTAAGGAGGGATTTAAAGATGGATAAAGAGTTGTGGGGGTGGTAGACAAGGTGGAGAGATAGAGGCAGAGAGTTCTAGAAGGTAGGAGTTTAGTAACTGAATCATGGCCACTGATGGTGGCGCAGAGGGATTTGGAATGTGCAGTGTTGCTGAGTGAAGGGGGAGGGCAGTGGAGTGGGGTATGAGTGGGGTTCTCCCCTCCTCTTTGCTTGAAGGAAGTTGAATAAAAGTTCCGATCCATCAGTTTGTTCTTAAATGCAAAGTATATAAAACCTTATAATTGCATTGCCAGAATTCACTGGGCTATTTGCAAATACAAATGTTCCTTTAAAAAAGAGTTGACCTATAATATTCTATCTCAGGACTTTTATATGTTTAGATCAAATTGCTGAATTATTTTAAGTATGGCTGCAGGATGTAGATTTCCCAAACAGCCACGTCAATCTGCAGACTATGGATAGCCTGATGCAAACACCAGATTTCTTGGCACCTACTTGTGTATTTATTACTACTATTTACAGGAAACAAATATCTGGCTCGCCCTTTGAGACATTTCAATATAATAAGACACAATATCAAAAGCAAGGATTATGACTTATTAACTTTGGTTGTATTGTTACGACAAACGTTAGTTTATTGTTTGAAACTTCTGCTGTTCATTAAATTCTTGCACGACATCAATGGTTAAGTAATCAGCTAAGTTCTAACCCAAAGCTCCTTGACATGTATAATGACGTAAATACCAAATGCTCCAGTCTAATAACGCTGTTTAAACACTGAGTGGGTGAGTAGATTTTGGACTGAAGTCAAA